TGTGTGTAAGTGTGATGTGTAATTGACAGGGGCTGTAAATAGTTGTAGATGTGTGTTTCTGAGGTGGTGTGAACAAATTAGTAGCTTAGCTCCTCTTAGCCTTACTGACAGAAAGACAGAGACGTTGCAAATCCAGCACTGACAAGTTGCCATTTGCTTCTCTTCTTCTTTTGCAATCTCCTCCCGCCTCTCTTCCTTCCTGCTCTACCCTCAAAATTACAGTTTACTGCTCCACTATTGCTGGGCAACATTGTAGTACGCCATTACATGCCTTTTACAGTTTTCGGTGTGTTTCTGTTGCTCAAGAACAGGTCACATCCAAGGAAAAAAAAAAATAAAATAAATAACAAACACATCTCTTATAACATTTTGTCATTGAATTTACAGCAAAAGAAATATCAATTTTTCTAAAAAAAAAAAAAAGAACAACTTCCCTATCTTTTACGATAGGATCGAGAAACAGATAACTGTTATTACTACAACTGGACAATACTTCTGTTATCAACCCTACTCTCAGTTAATGGAAATTGCATGTCTTCTGTTTTTTTTCTGTATTTTTCTCTGTTTATGTATTGATGTGACTGTGTTACTAGTTTAGTAATACTGTGCCATCTCAGACATGTTCAGAATGTTCAGTCAAGGATTAGCGATACAGACTTGAAGTTTACATTTTTTGTAACATTTATATGACAAAATTCATCCTTGTATTTTAAGATGAAATTAATCACACCATGAAGTAAAAGTATCAAAAACAATTGCAATCGGATCATGCTGTGAATACCTGGATGCAATGATTTAGATTGTATTTGATAGCCTAACTGGTCAACAAGTGGAAATTTACACTTTTTTTTTTTTTTTTTACAAAGTTTCCCAAAATTACATTGTTTTTGATGTGGCTTGACATGTATAAAGTTAATAAATATTAAAATGTGTCAACTAACGAGCATCAGTTGAATCATTTCAACATGTTAGTAAAATTGTTCTAACTAATGTTGGACTTTCTAAACTCTTTTGGTGTATTTAGATGCAAATAAATGATGTATACACTTGGCAAAATATAAGGTCATGTTATGTACACGTCTCAAGTATGTGTATTGTTTTGGATTAATTCTGATTTTATATTGAATGAGGGAGAAACAATGCAAGTCTGCCGTATAAACGTAGAGTATAAGTTACATTTTAAACAATTATTACTCGATTATTATTTTGTTGTATAGTGGAAAGAGGAGCCATGATGTTTTAACTTCTTCAAAACGACTAATTTTACAAATCTCCAAGATAGGTTTTTGCTGTATGTAAAATTGGATTTTTAAATCTTTGTGTTACCTTTCAAATCCACAATATGATGGACTAAAACAATCCTTCAAAGAGAAGTGGGTCACAGTGACTTAATAGACTCTGTCGTTCATTGCTAATGTTTGATGCTGCTAAAGGTGGCACAACAAATGATTAGCTTTAAATGCATTTTCTCAGGACTGCAACTCTTACTAAATACTGCAACATTAGATTTTGGCACAGCAGTTCTCCTCTGGTTTGTCTCATTTTATTTAAAAAAAAAAATAATCGAATTACTAAAGAGGAAACGAGGTAAACTCAATACTGCGAATCAATTTGCAGATGCTATCTAAAAGTGATGACGATTCAAGTGCCCTCTCTTCTGTGTTGAAGGTCTTCCTCTCAATAATACTAGGCTGCCTCTCACATCTACAACCAGAATGCACTTAGGAGGAGCAAAGGCATTCGGTTCTATGTGAAATGCATAGTTTCTAAACACCTAAAGTCTTTTATGTGTGTAGTAGAGAAATGGATAGTATAAATTCAGTTCACTAAAGGTCGTGAACAAACCTCTTGTCCATCTATGTGGCCTCTGCAGCAGAGGTAGAAATACATTGTGATGTGAAATAATGTGAATAATGTTCAATCCAACATGAGTATTTCCCTCAAAATTAACAGGATGGATAGAGTTGATAAATATTTTTAAAAACTTCATCAAAGACTACTGGTTTTATACGACAGATCCCAAGTTTGGTATGTGAAACAAAACATATAATTGTTGATGTCATCACCAAAAAATTTAATTTGTCGTTTTAGAGGACGCATTCCCTCCGAACGCCACATGGACGTGCCTTTGCACTGATGTTTCGGGTCAACCAGTGATTGTCCTTTTTAGCGAGGAAAGTGATTTCAAATATTACCCTCTTTTGATCTAACTGAGATGTCCAGATGAAGTAGTGTGACTTCTTTTCAGCCCTAAGTCTGAGGCATATATATTTTCATAATCATAATAAAGTACCACTCATCTCCTCAGAGTAATGCATATGTGTTTCTGATGATTTGTTTTAATGAGCTTGCAGTAAAACCTATTGTAAATGTTGTCAATAGGAGACTTTGGCAGTGAAAACATAAATTTAATCTCGAACACGACTTCAAGAGTTTTAAATATCGTCGATGAAGGAAGATAAGAAGTGGAAGGTGTATGAAGTGTTCAACTGTTTTTTGTAGCCACACAGTAGAATACCAATTTCTTAATTCTGGCAGATTAAATAATTACGAGTCAAGCAAGTCAACAGCTTTGCTTGTCTTTAATGTTGATTGCTTTCTTATTTAGATCTCTGAATGGTGCATTTCTTTTCATGTAAGACATTGGAAACCTTACATCAAGCTCCTGCTTTCTGTAGGACACCAAGCTCCATTTCCATCACTTTGATCACTCTTCTTTCCAGTTCAGAAAAAAAAAATAATAATAATTTAACACACCTGCATTGGTGCCATGGGAATGCTGGCATGGAGACCATGTCAGAATTGTTGAAACTTGGTGACGAATTAACTTATTTGGCAGCGATAAAACTGGGACAGATGTTTGTTTATTGTACTGTGCGGTGAAGGGTAATTGGCTTGTACTTGTATTGCACTTTATCGAGTCCAGAGGACCCCAAAGCGCTTCGCGATGCTTTCCCTCAGTCAACCGTTCATGCATATTCACACACTGACGGTGGCAAGTTACTGGGTAGTAGCCACAGCTGCCCTGGGGCACACCAACAGAGACAAGGTCATGCACTGGCACCACCACGCCAGCGCATCACCGTTTATAAATCTTTTTAATTTTTCCCTTAAGAGAATATATTTATCTTTGAAATGTAGATGTAAATCAACAAAATAGCTCAAATAAACTAAACTTAACTGGAGACAATAATAATAATAGTAATAATAATAATAATAATAATAATACGTGTTTGTGTTAATTTAAATCTTCCTGCTACTTTTACATAATAAAAACAAACCTTATCTTTAAAGCACACAGCAACAACACACCTATATCTTCTGTGCCTTCTGGCGTCGACATGTTTAATTTTGCATCCGCCTACAAAGCATTGGAACTCCACAGTAACAAGGTAATGTATGTAAAATCTAAAAATAAAGCTTGCCATATGATATATCTCACATACAGGCCTGTCTCCCACACACATCGCTGATCAGTGGGGGTGGGTGGGGGGGAATGAAAGAACACACAGACAGAAAAACCTCCTTGGTGTCTCTGAAACATTCATATACATACATCTGTGGTCTGTCTGTCTTCCTGTCACATTTACACACACAATGTCCACACACATTTACAAAGAGTTTTATTCTAAAACTGTTCGATTTTGTTACTCTAAAAAATTTAGGAGCTATATAGTCGTGGAGAAATTAAGAAACCCTCCGCAAGTCACCTTATACGGACAATTATTATTGATTTCAACAAGGGTAATATCATTGAAGCCGAAGAAAATATTAAAAATTTTGTTTTGCAAATTTGTGATAGAAAATGCAAATTCTGATAAAGAATAAATTAAGAGACTTCTTGATTTTTTATTTTATTTTATTTTTTTACATAAGGTTTACATGATGAGAGGCAGATAAGCCTCGTCTAAACATCATAGACTGAATTTAGCGTACTGTTACATTTAAAACTCTAATGCGCTGTCTTAGGGCTTCAGACAGAACGTTGACGCTTTAGTAGCTTCTGAGCCTGTTAAGAGGTTTAAAGAGGTTTCACTGCACTACATAGAAAATAGTCTACAAGTAGAAGACATTCAAAACAAATATCACTAAAACCGAATCTGTCCCTCAAGTCAAGTCCCCCCTGAAAACAGCCTGCAATAATCTTAAGCATGCAGAAACCCCAAGATTTTGTCGTTATGGGACCAACGGCAGGCATCGTGCAACTGTTGATATGAGATGCATGTCTTTCTTTTCCGGTTTAACTGTCACTTCCTAGGAGAGGCCCAGGATTTCTAAATTAATAATGTTCATGGAATGGGTTTGTAAATAATTACAATGGCTAGAATGTAATTATTCATACAACGTAATAGAGCGCATGTTTTTGAATAAACCAAACGCAGCATTACAAGACAAGAACCCCATTCCAGTTGTGAAGCATAGAGGTGAAAGCGATATAGTTTGGGGGATTCTTTAATGCTTTAGGACTTGGCAAAATTTACGTCATAACATATGACATGAATCCCCCTGTGTGTCAGAGGGGCTTTGAAGAAAATGCATAAACATTTGTAAAAAATACTGAAGCAGAAATTGGACCTGCTGCATGAGAATGACTGAAAGCGCACCAGTTATTCCACCAAGAATTGGTATAAAACAAAGAAGCAACAAGTAACATTTTACAGGAGCCGCTTTAACCCACAGCTGTCGGACTCGCTGTTAGAGATTAGGGTGTCCTCCCTTATTTCGCACAGCATACTATGTTTACATCCTTTGTAAATCCTTTGTTTCTTAATCAACAGCTCAATATTTAATTGAGTTATCCGATTTTTCTACACGACTATATACTCTGAGTATGTTCCCAACAATTTTGTAACAACTGCAAATCAACACAATTTCATGTAGCATTTTTTTAAAGGATTTTTGGCAGCATTGTGCTGTATGTTTAGAGAGCAGGGTTTTAGAATAAAATAAACTCTTCATAATTCATGCACAGCAAAAAGGCTGATATCTTACATGCTTACCTCGACAAATAGGAGCAGGAAAATCCCAGACTGCAATGTTTGCCGCATTGGTTATGCATGTGAGCGTAGCGTGACCGTCTAAGACGTAACCAGGGACGCAGCTGTATTGCACCCGGTCTCCTACAGCGAAGCGGCCACCACTACTTAGCACCGCTTTTGGTGGAACACCTGGATTCCCACAAGATGTACTGTGTAGTTCTGTGAAAGAAAGACAAAACAGAAAAATAAATTCATTCAGACTCAGCATTTCTTAAAATTTAACAAAAAAAAAAAACCCTAAACATTTATCGAATCAGTAAATCAGTTTCTTTTTCCTTACATACAAAAGGTTATGTGCTTAAACTGCTAAGTCTTTCATTAGGATTTACCTCAATCCTCATTCACCCTGGACAGTAGTGGTATTCCTGTCTATTGGTCAGAAATGGCAAATGATGAAGTCCAGCATTTGGTATGGCTCCACAAAGATATCATTTACTTTTGTAAGTTTCAAATTGCAAAACGTAGAAATTGAAAACCGAGTGAGCAATTTATTTAAAACAACCTTCAAACACATTGTCCATCAGTTTGAGATTATAAATTCTCCTTCCCTCCTCTCCCTCTCGATAAAACAAATCTGAAATTAACATATGAAAAAAGTGACAAAGGAGTCATTTATTCACCGTTCTAATTGAATATTTCCTTAAAGTGAGCTTTTTTTTAGACTGGTGGGGATGTTTCGCAATATGGTAAAGGTGACTTGATGACAGAAAACTATAGTCTGGAATGTGCAGATTTTACAGGGACTTAAATTACAAGAATGGACAACTCATAACTCACTTGTTATGTTTGTTTGTTCCTCGGATCACATACAAATGCAATCTCATGGTTATTCATTCAGCAGCATTCAGCATCGATAAAAGCCTTCTTTTAGGTGGAGAATGGGCCTGTGATTTCAAGGAAAGCTCATCAGATCCTTGGTGGAGGTCAAACTGGATCAACTGATTCACTTTTCGGTCACACGAGCTCAAGCAATGTTCAAAATTTAGAAGTGTCTTATTGAAAGAACAAGGTTGGCATTGTCAGTGCTGTTGTGTTTGATGGTCTTGTTGCTCTACATTTGCTGCTGTTGCATACATTTATATAAAGAAAGACTTTGTCAGATGTTTTTTTTTTTTTTGACTTTATGTCAGATATTTGAAGCTCTGAATGTTTCCTGATTTTACAGCTTCACAACAATATTGTGCTCTCCCAAACATTAGGTCATATCTCCTACGGCCTAATGTTTGCGAGGGAGCGGAGAGACACCAGATGAAAAGATGAGCAAAAGCAGAGCTCACTTAATCTTATTGATTAAATACCTGTTCATGGACTTTTAATATTCATTATAACATAGTCTTTGATTGGAAAACTTGCTGCATGCATACTACTCAAATCTATCTCTAATGAGCAACAGTAAACTAACGGGATAACTGTATTTCACTCTTAAAATTGAAAGGCACAACATCACACAACTGAGAAGGCCTGAATGTGACCGACAAGCCAGGAGGAGACACATAGAAAGATGGATGGTAAGAAAATAGAAATGCAATTCACCACATTGGCAAAACATTACTGTTACCCTATGCTTTGTGCTAAATGTACATGAAGCTTTGGTTTGGTGCATTATATACAGCTAAGCATGTTAGCTGTAAAGCAAGCACTTATATTGAAATCAAATTAGACTGAATAACCTCAGACAAAAGAAGTAAAGCATTCATATTTGCCCCTCTGGAACCATTTTCAGCTCTCATTCAAAAATGCAAGGACAACTGTGCTCACATAAACATCCACGTACACAGACGCAAAGACCTGGAGCGAGTGGGTGAAGAGGCATTACAAGCCATAAACCGAGACTTAGATGAGAGCACGGGGAGCAACTCCAGTCTTATAGTTTGAACTTGATTGATACAACTATGAAACTATTCAGACAGATAGAAGGCTGGGGTGGGTTGGAGCAGCAACCAGACAGATTGGGTGAGGGGGAGGCAACAACACAGAGAGAGAAAGATGGGAGAGGTGGTGGTAAGGGCGTCAGGAGGGGGTGCTGGAACAAACGGTAGCCATCATGACAGATAGAACTATGAAACTATAAGGACAGATGGAGTGAATAGGGCAAAACTCAGAGAAAGGAAAGCAGGACGGAAATAATTCAACAGATCTGCAAACGAGGCTTCTAATTAAAATTCGGAGGTAAAGGTGGAGCTGCAAGTTTCTCATATAAACACTGAAAACAAAAAAAAAAGTGCATTTTTAGTATTCTGGTCACAACTTAGGCTTTAATCAGCATGTCACTGCTCTGTCACATCTTAAAATTAAATGGAAAAGTTAGATCGTCTGGATTATGTGAAAGTAAAGGTTTGCTCATTAAGGTTGGCTGAATAAACGTTTTTTTCTCTTCCAAAGGTAGGCTGGGGGTTGAGTGGGGTGATCTAAAGATAGACTGAAGTTAGATGAAAAGCTGCTGTCCTGTCCTGAAGTGACCATAGCACTTTAACTCGACAAAAACAGCAAAGAACTTTGTAACTTTTGTTAAAGTAGATGATGGGTTAACTGATGTACTTGAGTTAATTGGAGGCACACGTGTGGACGTGTCTCAAAGCTACACCTGGGATACGCTGCTTTCTAGTAACACGAGTGGAAAGTCAAAAGAAATCAGCCAGGATATCAGGAGCAGAACTGTGGAGTTGCACAAGTCTGGGGATCATCCTTGGGAACAATTTATTGATGCCCAAATTTGCCGCAATAATCTGTGCAAACAATGATATGCAAGACATGATGGGAATATCCAATCATCATTCCACGCCAACTTGGTTGTGTGTCCCAGAAGATTAAAGTATTAAGGAAATATAAAAAGTCAGATTGCAGTTTGCAAATGCCAACAAAGACAAAGATCTTAATTTCTGGAGACATGTCCTGTGGTCTGATTAAACTAAAGTGGAGCAGCTTGGCCATAATAACCATTGTAACATTTGGAGGAAAAACTGAAACACTTTTTTCAACAAGGTTAAGTATCAAGTATCATGGGGTGGAAGCATCATGTTGTGGTGCCATTTTGCTGCAGAATTAACTGGTACGCTTCATAAAACAGATTGTAGAAATGCTGATGCAACATCTAAAGACATCAGCCAGGAATTTAAAGCTTGGCCATAAATTAGTGTTCCTAATGCTTAATGACCCTAAGCATACAGCCAAAGTGGTCATAAAGTCATTTAAGGACAATAAAGTCAAAGTTTTAGTGTGCCCATCACAAAGCTCTGATCTCAAAAAATACGAAGAAGTCGTAAGTAGAGCCAAAAAGGTGTGTGCAAGTTGGACCTTTTCTGTTGGGAAGAATGATCCAAAAGTCCAGCAAACTATTTTGAGAAGTTTGTGGAAGGAAACTCAAAATATCTGACTCCAATCTTACCATTTAAGAGACAATTATTCCTGATGCTGACAAAATATATGTAAACTTCTTAATTCCAAAAAAAGTTACAAAAATAATCTCTGAATCATTTTCTCTGTACGTTTTCTGACATTTACCAAATGGAGATCATTTTGATCATTCCAGCTTACATAAAACAGGAGAAGTTTAGTCTCATCTGACTTCGGACAGTGAGAAAAAAATGAATTGTATGTGCCTTTATTTGATTTAGTGTATGTAAGTATCTGAATATTTAGTTTCAACTGTATATTTCTAAAGATGAAGATGAAGAAAAACACATTCTGAAAGCTTTTGGTTTGAAGTTATCCTTTGTTTTAGTCCACACAGCGCATAAAGTGGAAAAAACAACAACAAACAAACAAAAAAAAAACAAAAGACAGCCAGAGGCAAACGGTTTTACTAAAGACCCTCAGAGAAATCCTTCCAACCACCATGCTGCTTATCTCCACACACACAGTGACAGAGAAACATACACTGATGAAACACACTTGGATAAAAACACATGGGTCCACACACACACACACACACATCCACACAAACACAACAAGGGTCATCCATCACTGTGGCGATCCCTTGTGTTGTATTGTGATTGGATGTCAGGTTGGCCTGGTGTCGCGACCTGTTGGCCTTTCGATTTAGCAAGTCAGCATGGCCCCACTCAGTGTCAGGATGTTTGTTCTTCAGTATCCTATCAGGCACACATTTACTTTCACACACAAGCAGAGAGAAATTTCTATCCGTTTGAAAATACGCTATTGACAACGTAAACCCATTTGAGCTGTTTCAATTTCAGCCTGCGTTCCATCATCTTTATAATAAACTTTCCCTTATTTTCTGCCTCATTTGCCCCCACCCTCCCCCTCCAGCCTTCCTTCAAGCCTTTTTTCCTACAGGAGAAAAATCACCAATTTACTCTAACACCTGGAAAGGATACAATCTGCACCTATTCCCTGGTCCAATGACACTGGATCAGTTACAGCTATTTATAGCCTCTGGGTCATATCAGCAGTGGTTTCCAGGTGGACAGAATCATTTGCACAGTGTATACAATCCAAAGCCTTGAGTCCAAGGTTTTTTGATCACTTCCTCCCAAACATCAGTTACATCAGGCAATGAAGAGAAAATAAAAGAACTTTAAAACGGATCTTGAAATGTACAGGCTACCAGTGGGGAGAAGTAAAAATGGGGTCATGTGTTCAGACCTTCCTGTTCCAGTTAAGTAGTGTTGCAGCATTTAGCACAACCTGCAGACGCCTAATGGGCGCATTACTAATCCCAAAATAAAGAAAGTTAGAATTATACAGTGTAAATATATATATATATAAAAAAATGCATGAAAAAACTGTCTTGATATAGTTGGATTAATTTTGGTTAAGTGTCTTTTTAAACTAATTCACATTTCTAGGCCTTAAACTGATTCACTAATTTTAGGACAATCTTTTATTAGTTTAACAAGAGAACAAATGGCAAACAGTGTTTACCTTGGGACAAAGTCAGGATGAACTTTGTCACAAGTTACATTTGTAGCTGATTTGATTTGAGTTAATTGGAGGCACACTTGTGGAATTTATTCTAGATTGAATAAATTCAATCTAGAAAATGAATAAATTAAACATGAATGATTATAGTTATTAAAATGCCTAATGGTATCTATCTCAGGTATTGTGTTTCCTTTGTGTTCCAAAGTATTGTCTAACTAATAATCCATACTGTGAGCAAAATGCAAGTCTGGTTTGTTTTGCCGATAGGCATTGTC